TCAACAACACAAACCGAAAAATCAACATCCTTTTCACGGCACAATTGCTTCAACCTTATTGCTGCAGATAACCCGGCCGGTCCTGCCCCAACAATGACGACATCATATTCCATAGACTCCCGCCCTGATTCACTGCTAAAACGCCTAAATTCACCAACAAAGCCCTCGGCTTTCGGCAACCAGATTCCATTTCTTCCACATTTCCTCAAATTGGAAGAACTTGGTGAACACCCAGAAGAGAAAAAACGATTAAGACCATACCCCCAGCCTAAACAAGCTAAACTTCCACTCAAATGATGAAAATTGAAGTGCCCAATTGGCGTTTGGGTGGGATTGGCTGGATTTGAAGGAGAATCAAGTGGATTATGGAGAGAAGAAGAGGAGATTGCAGAAGTGAAATGAGAGTGGAGCTTGTGGGATTTAAGAGAGGATGATTTGGAGGGGATTGAGAGAAACCTGTACATGATTGATTGATTGATGATGATGATGATCGAAGAGAATCAGAGAGAAGCTCCCTCCGCGCTTGAAACCTGGGAGAGTGAATATTTCTACAGTAGAGGCGTAGACGTTTTAAATTTGGAGAAGTTAGCTACGTGTCCATGAGATTGCGAAGCTGTTGACGTGCCATCTTCATCCATTTTTGTTCTGATCCATCCTTTTTTGGTATCCATTTCATTTGTTCTGGCTTTGATAAAAACTTGTCTCTATCATAATTAAGTATCAATTTTAAAGGGGTTTAAGGAGTTACAATTATAAATTTTTTACAAATATGTAAAGTCTTTGCAGCTAAATTTATTGTTAACTAAACACCCAATGGAAATAAGAAAATATTTGAATTGAGAGAGAAAATCAATTTTAATCATGACAAATGACAATTTGTCATCAGGTATTTTTGCCATGAAGGAATGCAAGAGTTTGTGGAAAATCCCCTGGCTCACAATTACAATGTTTTGGCGTTGTTTTTCCAAGGTTTCTTAGAGTAGACTGGAGGCTAAAGATCATTGTCATTTCTCCCAACAATCATACCTTGAAAAAACGCAAAGAAGATGGCCAAAAACAGGCCACCTAATTCCAAACGCGATGTAATTCATTCCAATTTCATGCTTCCTGTTAACCCTAAACAAATGAATTTCTACCTCTCATCACAACACCAACTCCCGACCCTCTTAGCATCTGATAATATATCAATGCCGCAACCCCTCAACTATCCTTTTCTCTTGTCTTCCAGTCTCCATTTGAGAAAGATCATCAAATGGGGAAGCAAAGCCAGCTCAAAGATGAGACCTTGTTGCAGCATCCGGTGTTTCTTCTCTTTGTTTTGGTTCTGGGTTTGGTTGTAATGGACCATTTTCAAATGGGGCCGGTCGGAGGCGTTGGATTCCGGCCGGTGAAGCATGACATTGCGCCGTACAAGCAGGTTATGGAGAGCTGGCCGAGGGACAACCGGAGCAGGCTGGTGGAAGGGAAGCTTGAGTTCGTCGACCAAGTTTTTGGCCCCGAATCGCTAGAGTTTGACAGCTTAGGGCGTGGACCATACGCTGGATTAGCCGACGGACGAGTGGTCAGATGGATGGGGGAAGATGTTGGGTGGGAGACGTTTGCAATTGTAACATCAAATTGGTGAGTTTTCAACTCTCAGTATTCAAGTTGACATGATCACAATGTGTTTGTGAAATTTTCCTTGTTAAATTATTGGTATGCTTATTAATACTTGAAATGGCACTTAAAAAGGTCAGAGAAGCTATGCGCTAGAGGGGTCGACTCAACAACATCAAAGCAATGGAAGCATGAGAAATGGTGTGGCCGTCCTCTTGGCCTGAGGTTCAACAAATACACAGGAGATCTGTACATTGCTGATGCATATTATGGCCTGTTAATGGTTGGCCCTGAAGGAGGACTTGCGATGCCCTTGGCCACCCATGTAGAAGGGAAGCCTATACTCTTTGCCAACGACCTTGACATCCATAAGAACGGTTCTATCTTCTTCACAGACACCAGCAAAAGACACAACAGAGTGTAAGTGTTACAGTCTTAGAGAGCATGCATCCTTCTTGTTCTCCGAGTTTTGCTACATAATTGAATATGAGGAAACTGAAATAATTTGTGTGCAGGAACCATTTCTTCATAATGTTGGAAGGAGAAGCCACTGGTAGGCTTCTCAGATATGATCCTCCTACCAAAACAACTCACATTGTATTGGATGGCTTGGCTTTTCCAAATGGAGTGCAATTATCCAAGGACCAAACTTTCCTTCTCTTCACTGAGACTACCAACTGCAGGTAATAGAAAGTACGAAGCATATAAAGGATTGATTAGAGAATCCTTTTTGTTTATGATATTTGTTCTAAACATTCTAGGGCATTGTTGCAGGCTAAAGAAATACTGGCTAGAGGGTCCAAGAGTAGGAACTGCAGAGCTAGTTGCTGATCTTCCAGGTTTTCCAGACAATGTAAGGATAAACGAAAAAGGGCAGTTTTGGGTAGCAATAGATTGCTGCCGGACGGCAGCACAAGAAGTGCTCTCACACAATCCATGGATAAGGAGCGTGTACTTTCGGCTGCCCATTCCGATGAGCTACTTGGGCAGGATGATGGGGATGAGGATGTACACAGTCATCTCCCTCTTCAGTGAGAAAGGAGAAATCTTGGAAGTTCTTGAGGATCCAGAAGGGGTGGTGATGAAGCTGGTTAGTGAAGTTAGAGAGGCAAAAGGGAAGCTATGGATTGGAACAGTAGCTCATAACCACATTGCTACTCTCCCTTACCCTTGAAATGAAGTCCCAATTTTCAATCCAGAGCTAGGATCTTAAATCTTATAGATGAATTATATCTGCTCACTTGTGATTTAATCTCTTGTGCTTTTGATTGCCTTGATTTAGTGCATCATTGTAACACTTTCTTTGCTATGGTAATCAAATGACTCTGTAACCTTTAGGTCTAAGCGTGAGAATTTTAAGTATGAAATTATTAAATCAAACTGCATACAAAAATTAAATTAAATTATGATAACTAAAATTTGACATAAGAGAGCATGTACATAACTTACATAATGAAAGATAAATCCCTTTTTATTTCATTATTATTCACTCCACAACATGTTCATAACTTGAACCAAATAAAATCACCATTGCACCACTTCAATCCATTAAAAAAAACAAACCTATAATTGTAACGTGTAAAAATCTTTGCATAGTCATATTTTATAATTTAAATTATATTGAATTATAAAATATAAAATTATTAAATAAAAAAATCCTTAATATTAAAGGGTTTAATCACTTGACTGCACAATAAAAGATAATAATGAATTATTTCTTATTTTTTATGTCATATTACTCGTATGTTATATTATTCGGTTTCAAGATTTTTTATTTTTATTAAAAAAAATTATTATTAAATTATTTAAATTATTAATTTTTATTCAATAATTAATATTATGTAATTAAATACAATCTAAATTATATAACATTTTTCCTCTATAATTAAATTGATCACACACTCCTTGTGAACAATAGAAAAAAGATCAAACTTAAATCCTTTTCTAATCATAAGTAATTAATCAATCCATCTAATTGAATCAATTATTAGCTGACAAGCAGCTTTCGTGTAGAGTTAAAACAGAATCTGCAAGAATGAACCAACGAATATCTTTCATTTTCAATGTTAAAAAAAAAAATAGTATTACCATTAAAATATGAAAAATAAAATAAAATAGTGTATCATTATACCTATAAAAAAAAATTAAAATACTACTGATTTTCAGGGATGAAGATTTTTTTCTTTTTTTTGGGTAAAGGTAAACGGATGAAGATTTTTTCGAAATTACGAAAAAGTCCGTCAACACAATTGACGTAAAGTCAACGTTTGACTACCACCGGTTACCGGTTAAGCAGGTACTACCATTAATTTTTTTCTT